TTTTCTTGATTTCTCTTTCTGTTATTAGTGTATAGAAATAGAACAGACTTCTGAATGTCATTTTTTTCTTACAATTTTACTGAATTCATTTATTCCAGTAGTCTTTAGTTTTTCTATATATAGTACCATGTCCTCTGCAATAGTGACAATTTTACTTCTTTTCTAATTTGCATACCTTTTTTTATTGTCTAAATGCTGTCGCTAGGACTTTCAATATTATGTCGAATAAGAGTGGTGAGAGTGGGCATCCTTATCTTGTTCCTGATCTTAGAAAAAAGCTTCCAGCTTTTCACCACGGAGTATGATGCTAGCTGTGGGTTCGTCATATATGACCTTTATTATGTTGAGGTATGTTCCTTCTATACCCACTTTTTTCAGTTTGTTTCATCATAAATAGATGTTGATTTTTTTAAAATGATTTTTCTGCATCTATTGAGATGATCATATGAATTTTATCCTTCATTTCGTTTATGTGGTATATCGCATTGATTGATTTGCGGATATCGAACCATCTTTGCATCCCCGGAATACAACCCACTTGATCATGGTATATGATCTTTTTAATGTATTACTGAATCCTATTTGCTAATATTTTGTTGAGGATTTTTATATCTATGTCTATTAGGGATATTGGCTTGTAACTTTCTTTTTTTTTTGTAGTGTCTTTCTTTGGTTTTGGTACCAGAGTAATGATGGTTTTCTGAAATGAGTTTGGAAACTTTCCTTTCTCTCCAATTTTTTTGGAATAGTTTGAGAAGGATAGCTATTAATTCTTCTTTGAAAGTTTGGTAGAATTTACCTGTGAAGCCATCTGGTCTTTGACTTTTATTTATTGGGAGTTGTTTGATTCAATTTTGTTTCTAGTAATTGGTCTGTTCAGATTTTCTGTTTCTTTCAGATTCTTGAAAGAGTATGTGTTTCTAGGAATTTACCCACTTTTTTTCTAGGTTGTCCAATTTGTTGGCATATAATTATTCATAATATTCTCTTAAAATTCTTTGTATTTCTGTGGTGTCAGATGTCACTTTTCTTTCATTTCTGATTTTATTTGGGCCCTCTTTTTTTTTCTCTATGAATTTGGCTAAAGGTTTATCAATTTTGTTTTTCTTTTTAAAGAACTAGCTCTTAGATTTTGTTGATCTTTTTTACTGTTTTTTTTAGTCTGTTTCATTTATTTATGCTCTCATCTTTATGATTTTCTTCCTTCTACTTGCTTTGGGATTTGTTCTTCTTTTCCTAGTTCTATAGGTATAAAATTAATTGTTTGAGTTTTTCTTGTTTCTTGAGGTAGGGCTGCATGGTTATGGATTTCTCTCAGTGATTTTGGATAATTATTTCCATTTTCATTTGTCTTGATATTTTTTGATTTCCTCCTTGATTTCTTTGTTAACTCGTTGATTGCTTAGTAGCATGTTGTTTAGCTTCCATGTGTTTGTTTTTACCAGTTTTCTTCTTGTAACTGATACCTAGTTTTATATCATTGTGATCAGAGAAGATGCTTGATATTATTTCAGTTTTCTTAAATTTACTGAGACTTGTTTTGAGGTCTAACATGTGGTTTATCCCGAAAAATGTTACATGTGCACTTGAAAAGAATGTATGTTCTGCTGTTTTAGGGTCAGATGTTCTGTAAATATCATATTAAGTTCATCTGACCTAATGTGTAAATGCCATTGTTTCCTTGTTGAAATTATCTGGATGATTTTTCCATTGATGTAAGAGGAGTGTTAAAGTTCCCTAGTAACATTATGTTACTGTCTATCTCTCCTTTTATGTCTGTTAATATTTGCTTTATGCATTTAGGTGTCCCTATGCTGGGTGTATAAATATTTACAGGTGTTATATCTTCTTGTTGGATTAATCCCCTTATAATTATGTAATGTCCTCTTTGTTTTTTGTTACAGTCTTTGTTTTAAAATTCATTTTCTCTAACGTAAGTATTGCTACCCAATATTTCTTTTCATTTCCATTTGCATAAATTATCTTCTTCCATCTTTTCACCTTTGTTCTGTGTCTTTCGATCTGAAGTGAGTCTCCTGTAGGCAGCATAGCACAGATTTTTTTTATCCATTCAGCCACCCTCAGTCCTTTGATTGCAACATTTCGTCCATTTTACACTTAAATTATGGACAGTTATGTACTTACTGCCATTTTATTGTTTTCCGGTTGTTTTTGTAGTTCTGTTCCTTTTCTTGCTCTTTTTTTCTTGTACAATGAGGACTCTCTTTAGTGATTTGTTTAGGTTCCCTTTATTTTTTGTGCATCTATTATAGGTTTTTGGTTTGTAGTTACCATGATATTCCTACATAACAAGTGGCTTATAGTGGTCTTTTTTAACTTGATGGTTGCTTAAATTTGAACACATTTTAAAAGCACTACATGTTTTACTCACCCTCCATTTGTTTTTGACATCATCTTTTACTTCTTTTGTGTGTATGTGTACATGTGCATCCCTTAATTCATCACTGTAGTTACACATGCTCTTATTACTTTTGTCTTTTAACCTTGATTAACTTTATAATTGGTTGATCCGCTATATTTATGAAATGTTTGCCTTTATCAGTGAGATTTTCCCCCAGGTTTTATTTTTAGTTTAGGTCTTTTCTTTCCAACTTAAAGAAGGCCCTTTAACATTTCTTATAATGCCAGTTTAGTGGTGATACTTTATTTTAGCTTTTGCTTCTCTGGGAAACTTTCTCCTTCAATTTTGAATTCTGAATTGAGTTTTGCTGGGTATTCTTGGTGGTAGGCTTTTCCCTTTTACCAGTTTGAATATATTGTGCCATTGCCTTCTAGCCCGCAATGTTTCTGCTGAAAAATCAGTTTATAGTCTTATGGGGGAATCCCTTGTGTGTAACTAGCTGCTTTTCTCTGGGCTCAGGCCATGGGGAATCCCGGAGGCAAGCTGTGCCAAAGCTCAGTGCTATAGCTAAAGGGAGAGTGCTCTGTGGGAATTCCCACGGACAAACTGCACCAGGGTGGCAGCTGTGGCTAGAGTGAGTGTGAGCTTTGGGGAGTCCCAGGGGCAAGCAGTATTGGGGCCACCTTGGCAGGCCAGCTGGAAGCTGGAACTGGAGAAGGCTGAGGGGAGACTGAGGGATAAGCTGCTCTAGGGCCCAGAGCTGTGACTGGAGAGGGCAAGGACTGTGAAGAGTCCTGGGGCCAAGCCTTGGAACTGGTGTGGGCCTCGAGGGTGCTGGGATGGCCTTGGTTGGTTGTTAGAGTACCTGGATTGTGCTCCTGCCCGTGATCAAGGTGCTCTCTGGTCTCTCTCCAACATTGGAGAGAGGTCCCACAGTTTCCCTCCTGTTTGTCAGGTGCCCTAGGGTTAGTAAATGGGTCTCTTTCCTGTGTAGTCTAGCTGCCCTTTAAACCACTGAGTTTTCACTGTGCCCCAGGACTGGCTGGTCTGTGTGTGAACCCTTCAGCGATACCTCCATACTGCAGGTTGGTGTACTGGGAGTGAGGTTCCCATGATACCATGTCTCTCCCTCCTACCCATTTTTGTGTTCTCTCTCAGAAGCTGTTTAGTTAGCCCTCAGTTCAAGAACTCTTTAAAATTTAAAATGTCACTCCTGCAATAGACCTTACCATTGAATATATTACACTTATACTGATTGTTAGAACTGAAACTTTTCAATAACATTCCTGTAGGATAGGAAGAATCTAATAACATCTGAAAACGACTGTATTTAAATACCTAACATTTACGTAACATCTGTCTTTTATTAAACACACACTAAGGATCTGTCTGCTCAAAGGGTTTAACTTATTGTCTTAACAACCCTAAGAGATGAGGCAGTTATTACCTCCATTTGGTAACTTGCCCACCTCTAGCCAGAGGCTGATGGTTGCACATAGAAAGGAATTCATTTTTTAGGTTACTTTAAAAATCTTAAAACCTTTAAAATGTTGGAAGATTTAAAAAAATCCTTTAAAAAGTCTTTAAAAACCTCAATGAATATCATTAGCCCTAAAAGAGCATCTTACAAATATTAGTAAGTTCATAGGTTTAACAAAGAGGCCCAACAATAGGTATTTTGTTTTGAATACGTTCATTGTTATAGTTGCTTTTTACACCTCTTCCTTTCCAAGACATTACTTGATTCATCAATGTGTATGAATCCTTTCTCATTAGACAAAGGGACTAGGTGGGTGGAGGGTGGACGAAGGGATAAACTACTAGCTCTAGTGGACACTGTAGTTTAATACACTCTGCTCCTAGATTCTCAGCTCAGCCTCTCACCTAATACTTGGGATATGCTGAGTTCTCTGTTACTACAGCTGAACATCAATAATCAAATCTGCTATGGAGCGGAAATAAATTACTAAATCTGTAAGATCCCAGGTAAACAGCTTGGGGGGGGCGGGGAATACTGACAATGGCAAATAGCAATTTTAGGGAGAAAATAACAAGGAAAGCAAATATCTGAAAAGTAATGGAGGGTAGTAATCTGCTACCTGAAATAAAAGTTTCTTATGTACTGACACTGAGTGCGAGTATGTTAAATCATGAAGATCAGAACATCTTGTAATTGTGACCATATCTGAAAGAATATTTTCAATTCCTAGAAGGTCATAAAAGAAGGGAAGTGAACCTACTTAGGGGAGGCATTAGTAAGATACTAAGCTTGATTCATGCAAAGACAGAGGCAGAAAACTAGAAAGATCTATACAATAGAGACCTCATCAGCTTACAGGAGGGGACATAGAAACCTCCAGATAAAGCCAGAAACAGCTTAGGTATTAACCTAATACTGATAGAAAATTAGAACAATAAGGTATGAATAGTTGTCTTCATCATTTAATTTTGTTTCATATGAGTTAACTGTGGCTCTAATACTGATACTGAATGCATGCTTTTCCTATAGAAGATTCACATGTTATTAACCATAGACTGCAGGTGAGCCGTGGGACTAGAGAAGGATGCTTTTACTTATTTAGCATCTGTGCTGCTGCGTGAGGTCCATTTCTTTATGAAACAAAAACAAACCACCATAAAAAAATGAATTTTTTAATTTTTTTTTTTCAGTGGCAGAATCACATAGCTGTTTTGATACGATTTCCAGTTGGTCTAAAATACTGCTTTTTGGAGTTGTAAAACTTCCATTACAGAAACACACAGAACAGACAGTGGATAAACAGAATCACAACGGTTTATCAGATGGTTGTTCTAAACATATTCTTTGCCTTATTTTCCTATAAGAAAAGTCTGAAAGATCAAATTGGAAATTCTATCAAGATACAACCATAGTGGGAGAGGAAAAGATAAAATCAGTAATCTGGTTCACTTGCAATGCTCTGTCTGTGTCTGCAGAAGTTTGCATGTTTGTGGGTATTTTGTGTCAGCTAGGAAATTAACAATTTCAAAAAATCTAAGGAAAACTGAAACATATTTTTTATAAAAGCAAACCATTGCTCTTCAATGTCTTTTTCCCTTGAGACATAAGCTGCTTTAAGAAAGGGGTCAAAAGCGTTAACGAACAACCACCATTTGTTATTTATCTGAAATAGCATCTGGACAGAAAATTGGCAAATTTGGTACATGGTTTAGAAAGTGAAACTTTACAAATTTATCAAACTAAATTAAAATATTCAGACATTTCTTTTTACTGCCAAATGGTCAAAACTTTAAATTGTGTTTAAATCTGAAAGACTTAGGACCTTAGAGAAAAAGCCACTAACACAAACAGTATTATTGTTAACAGAAGTAAAAAAGCAGGTTAACAGATGGCATTAAAGGAAAAAAATAAGTAACCAGGAACTGTTAAAAGCTAGAGTTGTATTCTGATTTTAAGAGAAAGGATAACTACTTAAGTGAATGTAATGTTCAAAACTAATGGAAATGATGTTATCGATGTAACAATCTGTAAAGCACTGTGAATGAACATGCTCAGCAGTGTTTACTTCCAATGAATTTAAAACTACACATGATCTGTTAAAAATAGCATTCACCAAGGACAGTCCTAAGGTGCTTAAAAAAAAAAAAAAAATCTATACTAAAGATTTGGACAGCGAAAGCAGGGATACACATTGTTTCCTATAGAGTCATCGATACAGCAAAGACACTCGTATTATAGCTACGATTACACTAGTCACAATTTTCAACCTTACAGAATAAAGCTACAGTATGTGAAATTACAATATATTTATCTTCTTTAAAACCATTTTTAAAGAAGGGCAGATTTGTCATTTTTTTACAAGTCAAAAACCAGCAGAAAAATGTAACTGATAAAAGCAGTCTTTAAAATATTTTGTGTCTAATTATATGCTAATTTTCAGAACCCAACAGAATTTTTGGTCCATGAGGCCCTTAAGAAACAAAGGTAGGTAGGGAATTCCCATTTATCAATAAAGATACAAAGTTCATTAAAAAATTTCAATACTTATTACAACATTTTTACAGAATTTTTGGTAGTTAAATGTAAGAAATCTCTCAAATAATGGGTGTGAGCAGGTAAAAACATAAGTGAATTAAGATGCTTTAATATGACTATCTCACAATCTTTTGAAGGCAATAAAAGGTTTTAATGTCAACTGAAATATAATTATTTCTTATATTAACATATCAGGATTTAATGCTTAATGTGTCTGTTTTTCTCCCTCTAGGACAGGGATTAGCAAATTGTGGCACACAGGCCAAATCTGGTCAGCTGCTAGTTTCTGTAAATAAAGTTTTACAGGCATACCGCCACACCCATTCATTTACATCCTGTCTGAGGCTGCTCTCATGCTGTGAGGGCAGAAGTGAATAGAGAACATATAAAAATTCTCAAAGCCTGAATTATTTGCTATCTGATACTTTACAGAAAAAGTCTGTCAACCCTTGCCCTAGTGGGTTTCCCAGACCAACCTAAAACAGTGCATGTTTCTCTTTTATTAACACTCTGATTGCTCTTATCCTAATGCATGTGTATCGTTCACATATTTTATACTTCATTTTATTTGTTGGTGTATGCCTAGGAAGCTCAATATCCTAGCTGAGTTCCTATGTTTAGTATATTTGGAATATAAGCATTCTCTCTGGCCATAACCTGTTTAATATCAGGTCACTCAGGAATTCTCCAGGAGCTGAATGATAATAAGATGGATGAGCCATACTCTTAACACAATGGCTGGAAAACTGTACAAATATCTTAGTGTAAATGCCATCCAATTGGGAAAAAGAGTTTTTCAAGACACACACACATACGTAGCCAGAGCCACCCTCCCACCTATTGCAAACTAATAGCTACAACATAATCAAAGTATATTTGTTTCATAAATATATTACTGTCTATATACATATAGATACATCCATAAAAGACATGTTAAATAATTATCTGTATAATCACTACTTTAAGGTCTTTTGTATGTTTTAAAATTACACATTCTATTAAAATTATCAAAATAATTCTTTAAAAATACCAGGAATAAAACCAGTGAAGAGTTGCTTTCCACTCAAGTGGTTCTAAATCTTATCATTGGTCATTTAGACTCCAGACTTGATTGTCTACAACTCAAGGAAACATTGTTCAATTAAGGAAAAGTTAGCCATCAAAAACCTAACACCTCCCCCATTGTTAATACTTCATAACAAATATGTATGCATGTATGTATATATACAAAAATGCTCTTTTTAGTTATATTACATATTCTCATAAATGAATTTTCATAAAAACACGAAGTTCGAGTTTCTACCAGTATCAAATATTTTATACTGGTGTGCATTTCTCTCAAATGTTTAGGTCAATGAGAAACTATCAGGATATAGAGATCATAAAAAGGAGACTGAAAATTATGTATCACATGCAAGAAAGGAGGAAATACTAAGGGCCAGTATTTGGCCAGCTGGGTACTATTCCCTCTGTACTAAGACACAGAGACAATGAACCGGGTAATTACTGTGTAAAGTACAGTCAACCCTCAATTATTCAGGGGCAGAATATTCCAATCTGAATCCTTTTTCCTGGTAGTTTCACTACTACTCACTAACACACATCTCTCTGGTTATTTATCACCAAGTCTGGTAAAAGATATGATTAAGGTGAAAATTTTGGCTAAAATGAAGGACTGGAATTAGCTATGGATTTAACGATGGATCCTTTTACTTACGGCTTTAGATAATTACGAATTTGCTATACCTAAGTCTGCTAAATATGATTCTTAAGCTCTGAAAGCAACACTGGTGCTTCAAAAAAAAAAATTATCCTCCTGACAGAAGAACACAGCTGTATCTTAACTCACAATTATACTGAAGAACTTCAGTGCGGGTAGTTCAGAGCTATTCGCTTCAGGACAGGTGGTGGCAAGCTACAACTATTTCCCATAGTCTAAAATCCATGAAGCAATGAAAAATAGCTAAAAATATTAGAAGGTTAAAGGTGTGATATACACTTCACCTAAGATCTCATTTAAATAAATCTAGTAGTTTGGCAGAATCTTCAAATTAAAATGCTAAAATTAAGAAAATGGAAGCAAACCTATATGTACAATTTAAAAATGATTTCATACTAAAACAAACAAACAAAAAAGGCATAGACTATGACTAAAATTAAAGGTACTACACATTTGTAACCCTATTTTTGGCACTGGTTTAGCCTCTACATTTAAGCTTGTTCTACGGACAGTGACCAACAAAATCAAGGAGAACAATTTCACAAGTGAGTGGGGTTGCTCTCAGACAGACACCACTCGGAATGGTTTATGAGGCATCATTTGTATTATTTCTGGGTACAGATGAGTGCCACACTCACCTCAAAAACAACAGCAATAATTGTGTAGAACACCACTTTCCTGAATTAAGTTTGCTGAACACGGTTCAGATTATTGGATATGTCAATATGCACAATGCCTTTTAGAAGCATTTACTGTTTACCCAAATCCTACTTCATGCAACACACAGTGTTGCACAAGTAGTGAAAATGTTATCCTAGTCAAAGGTGCTTGGACATTATTTTCAGGCAGCATTTTACCTTTATTTTAAGTTCACACTAGATAAGTTTTAGGAGAAAGAAAATGTCAATAAATTTATTTAATATATTTTAATATATAAAACTAGGACAGACACTTCTATTTTCCTAAATTATTACTTTAATTTTCTACCCTATTCAAGACCTCAATTTCACTTTAAAAATTGGTATTTAAATAAGGGATAAAATGTTGCCCAAAAGTCTAATCATAGTTACACATTTGTGTTTTAACTAGATCTACAAATCAAAATAGTTCTTATAGTTAAAAAGATACAATTTGTATCAACAGTAAAAGGTACTTTCTGGTTTTTCAGGGCTTTACTTCAAACTGTAGCACATGGAATAATCAGAATAACCAGGGCATCTTGGCAGACTACAGAAACAGATCGGAACGAGTCTGTTATACTATGTAAAATTCAAAACCTGGAAGCAACAGAGAAATCGTGTCAATCGCACAATTGTCTGCCACTGATTGCAGTATCTATCTTCTAACTGACAAAAATGAATCTGCATCTAGCAAAACCCATGACTTTAAAACCAGAAATATCCCTTACTAATACTAAAACAGACTTTAGTCTGTATCTAAAACTACACTATTTGTGGCAAGAATCTGGCCTTAATAATATAACAGGCCCCTCAAAAAACTACCTCCAGGAAAATGGAAAATATACAGTATCTTACAAAAATTTTAAGTTACCATTTACAACTCCTCCATCACCATTTCCATAGTGCAGTATCGATAAATGTTGCATATCCTCAACACATAAAACCACCTCAGGCCAGCCTTGATAAATAGCAGGAAAGCTAAAGAGCATATTAAATATAAAAGTTGCATTGAGAATAATTAGATTCATTAAAAAGAGGCAAGTACTGCGAAAAGGTTATTTTATCCAGTATTGTTGTGCCCCCAAACAAAAAGACAAACACGTTAAAAATACAGGTCAATGGGAATCTAGGAATTCAATTCCATTTCTACTATCTAGAAGCACATCATAGCTGGATAACAAAGCTCTAAACTGTTAACAGTTACGGCTTTTGCCTTATTTATAAAAAAATGGAAACAATTTTTTCCATTGATTGCATCTGCTTTCCTTTAAATCAACCATATTAAATTAACTAATTACTTAACAGACAAAAAATCCAAACAAAAATAAAACAATGAAAAGTGCCATATTGTAAATTATTCTAATATATAGTGTTACCCATTTCAGTATAAACTGGTAACTGACATTTTGTTTAAAATATAAAGTCAGTGCTTTAGTATATCTTTGTTTCTATAAATAATGATTATAGCACAAAGAAGCCCACTTTCCCCAAATAAAAATAACTTAAAAAGCTGTAAAAGATTCCAATTAAGCTTGGCTTGAAAAAATAGTTTGTTAGGTCTAGTCAAATGTTCGACATTCTGAAGGTATTGTAATTGCTTGCAATTGAGAGAGAAACACCAAGTTAATAAAACATGAAATAAGGATAAAAAGTGCTGCATATAAACCCCTGATGCACCAAAGATTAATATCAAAGATCACAGATACACTTAATAAATCAAACTGGAAAAATTTCCAGCCAAGGATATAGCTTTAAAAAGGAAATGTTAAAAAAAAGTTTGAATGTAAAGCAATCCCGTGATACTTCCACTATGTGGGGCTATACATACAGATTCCATGATACAGTATTTCACATAAATGGATACTATATAACCTCCTTGCTGAGAAGGAGATCACATGTGCTATTGTAGCAAACCTCCCTCAGCATTTGAGCTGAACAAAAAACTACTAAACACCACAAAGATGCATCATCTTTCAATAACCCAGCTGTGATTTCTCCACTAAAATGGCTGCAGCTAGCTGCTGGGCATCTGTCATGTGAGGGTTCCTTTTCATGACAATTCTCACAAGGTCAGGTGGGAAGATGTTGCACAAGTTGATAAATATCTTTTCTCGGTTGTCTTGGTATCTCGGAGGATCTTGCTGCGGCAGTCCACAGTACGGTATTCGCCATGTCGGCTCCTGCTGCTCAGGAAGGCTCTGGAAGGTGAACTGCTCATAGCATGGCTGTGTAGAGTTATCAGGCAAGGAGTAAGTCTGCCGATAGCCATATGCATCGATCCCATAACTCTGCCTGTCCCAGCTTCCCAGCCCTTCCTGGCGGGAGTAAGGCTTTCTTTGTCTTGAAGGAGAACTGTCGTACAGCCGAGAGTCAGAAATGCTGTCTATTCTTGTGGCCACTAAGGATCGCCCTAGGTGTGGTGCCTTAGAGTGTGCTGAACTTGGAGGAGAGGGGTAATCGCCAGGACAACTGGACCGGGCTCCCACAGCTGGGTGCTGCAGATGCATAGCCAGATGTGGAAGAGGAGGCTTATGATGGTACTTTGGTTCTTCATGACTGTAACTCTGTACTCTGGTTAAGGGGTCGTGGAAATTCTGCAGGAAGGGTTGGGAATTAAGGCGGCTGTGAGGGTGCATGTGTTGACACTTTAAATTCTCTTCTAGCTGTGGGTCAGGAGAACTGACATAGGACCGGTCATTGTACCCCACATATGAGTCACTGCTCCCACAGCTCATGCTCCCTTCACTGCTGCAGTCAGAAGCTACAGAACTTATCCTATAATCTGTGTCTAAAGAGAAACGCCTTTCAGGACTTCGCGGGCCTGAGACACTCAGATTTGAATATGCATTCAACATGGAATAATATCCAATGTCGACAGGTGAGTCACATTTTGGATACTGATCATAAGGCATTGGCGTTCCATGATTTTTGGTTGCCATTATCATTGGAGGATATTGTCCCTGTGGTCTTTGATCCTGAGGTGGGAAATGAACTCCAGATGGAAGGCCATTGCTTAAAGATGTAGTGCTTTGGGGTTTTGCAGTAGAAGTGGCCGGTATACTAACCAAGGAAGGTACAGACCTGGTTTCCAATTTGTTTTTGGTGGGAAGCTTTTCCTCTAGGTCTTGGTAGACTTGAGTCCTAATGCTTGGATCCGATTGCCTCTTTGGAGCACCTCGTTTGACATCAGAAGTGCTATCAGCCTTAGTGCTGCAGGGAACACTGTTGCTTTTCACCAGTCCGCCTTCATTTGCAGTTTTAGCAGCTGTATTTCTAGACATGGCACGGAGTTCATCAGCCACTGACCGCTGAGGCTGACTGCCCCTTTCTGGATGATAATATTTGCACTTGTGTCCATAGGTACACTTCTTTCCTATGGAGAGTAAAATAATTAGGCAAAGGAGCACATCACTGGATTCTGAAAACTCAGTTTGGCATTACTACTTTAATTTGTGAAAGAAATGAAGGCAGAAATGGGAGGTATACTGAGCGTTACTCCGGTCCTTCCTTGTTAAGAAATGTTACCTTTCAGTCTTCCCACTTCAGTACTATTAACAGCAGTAAGAAAGCTGGCCGAATGATTAACAATCACCTCTAGAATTTTTGGCTAATATCCTGTGTCCTCAATTCCTACCTGCTTTTTCACTCCCTGTATGATTTTATAAGTAGGTAGGACATTCTGTTTTGAAAAAAAAAAAAAATGTATTGCTGTAATGTGATAAAACCATGCTCATCTGATGTATGTCTAGCTGTAAGAACTCCAAATTTTTATCTACCTGAAAACTAACTTCATGTAGAAGTAATTGAGTTTTTGGAACTCAGGGAAATTCAGGGAACTGCATTTGCATTGAACCAAACTAGGTAAAAATAATATTTTTTTTCATGGCTTTTAAATTTAATTATAATCAAAAGAAGGATATACCATGCCATTCAAAATTAAAAATGTTTATCTTTATTAACAAACATTTAACAACATATTGTGTTCTAAAGGCATATATTAAATACTCATAAAGAAAGTTACCGTATGGACAAGGCTGCTTTTTGTGTTCGGGAACAATAGGTTTCTTCCTCAGAAAATTATCCAGGCTTGGGCCATGTCTGCCAAGAGGGTCGTCAGGGGGCATGAACCTGTCATGGATAAAATACAAAATAATACCCAAGAAAGGAGGTTGCTAATTTAATTATAAAGACGGTGTAAAGGTTTATTTATCTAAGATATTTTTTTCTTGCAATTTTAATTCAAGTATTTTGATTCAACATTTATAGGAAAGAAAAATCAGTACATGAAACTGTCTTCTCAATGAAAACAAAATTAAAATGTTTTAAGCTGAACTCATATTTGTTCTGATTCAAATGAATTTTGAGGCTAGCATGTTCTAATTATTTCTTCCTTCTTCTGTCCTAGGATTTTGTAGGAACTTTAGAAAATAATCACAGTGACATTTTAGGAGAGTTTTGTAGACATCAATCTTGTGAAGTAGTATGAAGCAGGTGGGGAGTGAGGAGGGACGGCTGAGGGAAAAGGGAGAGGTATGAAAAAGTGAGGGAGAAAGCTTAAACCAACCAAACACCTAGTATGTGTCAGATACTGTGCACACATTATCTCATTTCATCCTAGCATGATCTCTGATGTACTAGCTCCACTTTATAGATTAATACACATTTCTAATTTAGGCTTCGATGAATTAAGTTACTTTTATCTAAGTTCACATGGTATAGTCAAGATTCAATTATATCTAACTCCACAGTTCATCCTCTTCTCACTCAGGTGCTTCTCAGCTGAGAAAGAATTATGTCTTAAGAAAATAAACTTATTATTTTGGATTGACTGTCCAATGAAAGGAAGAATTCATGGCATGCATAATAAAAAGCAGTTGTAACTGAAGAGTTCTAGTAGTTATGCCACTGTTTGAACTTGAAAAAAACCCAAGCATTTACCCATAAAATGTGAATAACGTATAAACTCTTAAGGGAGTGTTAAAATGGCTGAGTAATAACACTTGGCAAATATAGTGTTTCATATTAATATAAAAACACCATGGCAACATTGAAAGTTTAAAATAGAAAATAGTCACTCAATTCTGTAGTCTTAATACAATTATTTTCCATTTATGTGTTGTAGTTTAGTCATTTTTCTGTATGCATACACCATTTTACAAACACATATTTTTTGTCTTTTTAACATATTTTTCCATGTTTCTTAATAGCTTTTCATAATCAGAATTCTGAACAGCTGAACAATATTCCACTAGGAGATGTATTGCAATTTAATTGGTTTCTCTATTGTACCTTTAGTTGCCTTTAAATTCTTACAATTAAAAAAAACAGAAATAAATATGTCTGGTCATTTTCCTTTATTATATATCCCAAGAAATGAGACTATTGGCTTAAGAGGGTATAAATATTTTTAAGGCTTCTGCTAAATCTTGCCAAACTGTATATCAGTTTTATTATATCTTTAACACCATAAGGCATGTGCAACAGTATTTTTGTCAATTAGATGGAAGAAAAAAATATATACATTGTTGATTTAGTTTGCATTTTGATTATCAACAAGTGAACTTTTTCTACATATGTGTAAATATATTCACTTCTTAGGAGACACACTTGTTTATGTCATTTATCCATTCTACTTAATCATAACTAGAGCCTTACATTGATATAACATTTTAAAAAATCATATATTTAAAATATATTTAAGTAAACTATCAATGCTCTAAGTAGATTTTTAAAGGTAGTGCACTGGGGGTCAATATGTTCAAACTTTTATTTGCATTATTTGAAGACAGAAATTCTCCCTCTGTCAGTTATTACACATTACTCAGAGTCTTAGAGACTTGATCTGTTAGTGACCTATAGGGGATGGCAGGGGCCTGTCACTCACAGAGGCCTCCTGAGGCATGACTGCAGTTTTTCTGACTCCCACTGAGGATTAGTGGGGAAATCAGTTGTTGGAAGTAACCTGTCTTCGGCCTGGTCAGTGGCAAAAAGAGAGGGCTTCTGTAGTTGTTGCCAGTGCTAGTTAAATCTTCAAGAAAGCAGTACTACTTATAAGTAAATGATTTTACTTACTTGTCATTGACAAATGAATACATTAATAATCGCTCATCTATGAACTTCTTCCATTCTGGTTTTTCATTAGCCAAATCCCTGTAGTTATCATTGGACACAATTATACCATCTGACTCGAAAGCCAGCTTCACGATGAACCTGTCATCGTAGCACACCACTCGCCTCCCCTGGACGCGCCGGGATGGTGTGAACACCAGGATTTTCTCCTTTTCTAACTTACGAAGAATTTCTTGATCTGCAGGGTAGAATTTCAGAAAGAAATACATACACAACACATATAGCAACTTTCATACAATGTGAACTTTTGTAAGATAAACTAGATATATATAATCATTTAATTAGAGATTTTGATTTGCAGTTTGTAGATATAGTAAATGTGTAACCTCCAATATTTTTCCTTCAAGATTTTCAATAATAAAGGCTTTAAAAATAGCCAAAAAAGTGGACTTAAAAATATAAAAAGTTTAAAATTTCAAAAACTTTTAAAAGTTTAAAAAACTTAAAAGCATAAAACTTAAATATATCCTAGTAACTTCTGATTTCATTATATAAAGGTTCTGCTTGAGAGCTGGAGCCACCAGCACTACCGCTATGCATATAGCTTCTTACATAATCCTAGCACAATGCCATTCCAACAAAGCAGTTGTGTTGGACCCAGGTGTGAACAACCGATTTCCCTCCCCGCCAGTGTGTATGAGCTCTTTACTATGTGGATGTGATGGGGAGAGAGTGTGAAAAGTAGTAGAGGTAGCTGAGGTGGCAAAGCAAAATAGTCTTAAAATGCAGATGGCTCAAAGAAAAAAGTGGTGAAGTCAGGACTGCTGTTGTGGATATGGCCATTATATGTAATGTGTCCTGTCCTAGGAAACATGTGGTAACAAGGGCCAGCATTCTTGTGGGGGTTGGACTGAATGAATAAGAGATTAGAAGTGATTATGTGGCGAAAACAGACATCGATAGAAAAAGGATAGGTACGGGGATGCTCACTTTTTCTTTGGTTGGCATAGTCTTAGAGTACTTTGTAACTCGACTTGTTTGTTGGTTTAGAGAAAAAGGTATAGGAGTTCATATTTTGATTAATGATAAAAATTCTCACCCATCCCTTCTTCCTACTTTTGCTCTTCCACTCCCTGGTCTTCCCATCATTGTACATTCTGGCACTGAGTGCCAGGTATTAGCTGACAGATGTCACCATTAAAAAAAAAAAAAAGGCTCACAACTTCTCATTGCTTATTAACTGCAGCTACTTTTTTTTTTTAAAACTCTCTTCAGCAGACAGTTACTACATGCCTACCGCATGATGTGTGCTATGCAAGGTGTCAGTCGTCACTCAGATTAAGAATAACCTTTCCTGAAGGAGGTCTCGGGTGCTGGATTGGACAGGTGTAAAGTAGGTAATGAGGGTTGTTATTGCCACAACAGAAGTATGAGCAGAGTATGAGGCTCCAATATTGGCGTACAGATTTCATGATGTTCCTGATAAATGAGTTCATTAAGGCCACGACTTTGGTTTAGAAAAGCAGCAGAGAAGTGGAAGAAATGTGAGTCTTTAGACCAGCAAATCGTGGATAAATCTCAGTTCTGCTAATTTCTATATATGTCAATCAGTCTTATTGAGCCTGTTTCTTCATGTCCTCAAGTGCAGTTCATGGGCCATGAGGAGTCAATGAGTTATTACATGTAAAAGCACCTAGCACAGTGCCTGGAAAGTTCTCAACAAAACTGTGCTCTTCAACTTAATTTTGTTTAGTAAGTGTATATAGTTGTTGATCTCTTTTAAAAGTCACAGAAAACCAATACATAATCAAAAGCCCAGTCTCAATACAGGATTTGTCATCTTATAGTTATTTTGTGTGTTCCCCTGATAAACATTCTGAGGGCAAGCACCATGTCTCATTTATTTTTGTATCCATCAGCACTCAGCACACCAATAGATACTCAAAAATGTCTGTGGAATGAATACGTCAGCTACTTAATGATGCATATTTTAAGGTCTTACAGTTTATTTACTGTCTATGTTCATGAATAATCCACAGTACTTTATTTGTGGGAGTGTTTACTCATATATGATATATCTGGATCCTCCAAGTGATTGGAGGAACAAGTGTGCTGGCCTAATAGTCATCATCTTGCTTAATTTGCATTTCTTTAACAGCTAAATAATCCTAACTTAAATAAATATTGGTTCAGTAGAGCTAGTAAGTTAACCAAATCTCTAGTTCCTAGCACAGTACTTGCTTATTAAGTATTTGTTAAATCAATGGAAGATTGGCAAAAGTGCTAGTCTGAATCTATATCTGAGAACTTTAAAATATTTCTTATCTTTTTTGGTACAGTGAAAAAATACTGGACTATTAAATTTGCCAGGTATTACCTGACTGAAGCTTTTTTGTCAAGAGAATAATTATCTTGGGGAGGAAATATCTAATCTCTGACAGTAATTGTATACAAAGTAAACTCCATACTGATGTGTTCCAGATAGCTGGCATGCTGGTATTTTAAAAATTAAACTTAGCCACAACTCACATTTTCCCTTTTCTTGATCTCACATTCCTTTTGTGCTCAAGAGTCTTTCCAGTCACTTACATGTTTAAATAGTTTTTTTTTCAGTTTTTCTCTCTGATTATTAAAGTATTATAAATTCCTTGTATCAAATTAGTAAAGTTGAGGAAAAGTACTAAGGAGTAGTGAGAAACAGCACCCATAAAACCACAACCTAGAGGCAATTACTGTTACTATTTTAGCATATTTCCTTCTAGTAATTTCCTGTGTATATTTTTCTTTCTAATGTACATATGTATGTATATGTATTTATACATACACAGTAAAATCTGCCTTTTATGTAAAAGAGCATTTCCACAGATTATGAAAAATTCTGTGTAAATATTCTAATACATATTCTATCCTATCAATATATACTAATTTATTGAACCATTATTTTAAAGAACGTATGGTTTGTTTCCATTTTTTCCTATTATAAGCAGTATTGCACTGAATATTTTGGTGGTATAAATCTTTACCTGTACCTCTGCTTATTTTCTGGAGAATTATTCCTAGAAGGGGAAGTGGTAGATCCCAGAGTATAAACATTTTAAGTTCAAACTTTTCCAGAGAGGTTGTAACGATTTAGGTTTCCACAGCACCGCAGGGGTAACTCCCTCAGAGCTGAGTATTATCAGTTTTTTATCTCTGCTAATCTGATGGGTGAAAAATAATGCTTGTTTAAATTTACATTTCTTTAGTTACTAATGAAGTTGAACATTTTTGTTTGGTCTTATTTGGCACTTGCATTCTTCCGTGAATGCTCTATTCTTACCATGTTACTATTTATATACTGGGGAGAACTTTGTGTTGGACCAGTGTGTATGAGCTCTTTATTATGTTAAGGATATGGACTCTTTATCTGTTACATTTTTTCTTAGGCAAATAAAAATAATTCTCATTTTTAAGAAAGTTTCTCCAAATACAGAAGTTTACATTTTGATGCAATAAAAATCACCACCTGGAATTTACTGTTACATAGTGTAAGATAAGGATCTAAATATGTATATTTTTTCCAAAGAGTTATCCAATGTCTTGGTACTACTGGCTGAATTTTGCCTGCCTCTCCTACTTTATAGTTTCTATAGGCTAGGGTCTGATTCCATGGCTCTGGACTCCACTATAAGTTGCCTATCTATTCTTATGCTAGCTTAATGATTTAACGATTATAGATAGAAATAGTTTTAAATTAACCTTCCCTTCAGGTAGGTAGTCTCTACATTTGTTTGTGATTTGAATTATTAATGTTTTCTTCACACAGGTTCCTCAGGTTTTGTTAACGTTGAAGGTGGAGAGAGGGTGAAAAGGGTTGGATGCTGACTGAGAATCATTTAACTTGAGCAAAATGTTCAGCACCCAATAATTAATAGTTACAGAGAACATCTTTGCCTGAAACTCATACATTTAGAAATTACACAGTAATGCAAAATAAAGATACTTTATTGGGATCGAGTCATTTCCTTCTATTTGACACCAGACGACATATCCCGAGTCTCACAGATATTTTTTGATCTGCAGTCACTATAATTTGATTGTCACCTACCCTAAATTCTTATAGGAGATGAGAGAATTGGGGTCCAAAGAGATTCGATGTGTTGCTTAAAGTCCTATGGCTAGTAAATTGCAAAGCCTGGATTTGAATCTAGGTCTCCTGATTTCCAGCATGTCTGCAAAGGTCAGAATTCTACACATTTGAAGTGAAAAGTATTCAAATTAAAAAATAAAAACTGGCATATGTAGCAAGGATTATTGTTTAGTTAACATAAACAGATAGTTTTTAAACTTGAAAATAAGTTTAATGTCCCACCCAAGACAACACGGCAGTCACAAAGACTGAGTAAACAAAAACAAATTAACATATTGTTGAATAAAATACCTGACAGTGCCAGAGACCTGCATAGGTATAAATGGAGGCTAAGAACAAACAACTAACAGGATTTACCTGTAATGAGAGCATCAGGACGGGACTGCTCTTTTCTCCACGCAGGAACAAAAACTGTAACATCTCTGTGGCCTCTTTCCAAAAACCAATCCACTGCCAATTTTATTCCTCGGCAGGAAAATACTTCTTTGTTTCCATGGCTGAAAGATTATTTTTAGAACACTTAAAGCACAACAAAACATACATTTAATTTAATTCAAATTTATAAACCGAAATGATCACATAATTACAATAGTAATAGGAGATTTCAAATTTAAGATGCAGTTGACTAGCTCAGAGAAACAATAAGATAACTTAGGAGTTGAAAATCTCTGAGAAAAAAATAAGAAAATCGGGATGATTATTGCACAGAGAATAAAGAAAAGTGAGTGTTCAAATGTCAAGTTGAAAAGGTTAACTAGTCAGACAGATACATTTTCTTTTTGACCAGGAAGGATGGGAAAAAAGAAAGGGGCCTCAAGCACAGCAAAAATAATTTCAGTGAAATGTAAAAATAAAGTCCCATAGAAAAAATCTATGAAAACAGTGGAATGGAATACTTAGGAGTTTCTAAAAACTTCCTTCTTGAGAATTCTTATAACTCAATATAATGATTAAGTAATACACAAAATTTATGAAGTGACCCATGTAAAACAATGCACACAAATGCACTGAAAGGAAAAATACATGCACAATGCTAAATCTCATAAAAAACGCTTTCCATGTCCTTCAATGAAAAGACACCTAGTTTGTTTAACACTGTTGTGTTGGACAAGGATTAATGATGACAAAAGGGCATTCAAAACTGGATTAGCAGTTTTAGTGCATAAAAGAAAATGTCCAACTAAGAGTGTAGTCATTCAACAAATATTTATCTAACACCAGGCTCTGCTTGTACACTTTCACCTAATATTGAAAAAAAAAAATTAATGTTTTTAAAGAAAATCTCCTGCTTTGAAAGTAATAATTATTCTTTTACAGTTTTAGCTCAGAAAGTGCCACTTATTATCTATAATGGAGATACATATTCTTTACTTCTTATAGCTAAGGAGTTCTTACGCGTATGTCTCAAAAGAAGAGCTGAATGAAATAGGTAGGTAAATGCTTTGTTAACTTTTAGCACAAATCCAACATTTGAGATATTAATATATTGTTCTAGTGGTCCCCTAGGAAGCACTGAAACCATTCTAAATATGATTGATCATTTAAGGACAAAACAGAAATAGACTATCTTGTTTTATAGATACTGAAAGCTATAAATGCAAACCACAGGGGCTGTTTATGGTTTCATGCACCCATCCTAATGGTTTGGGTTAAGATTAGAGGTGAAATCAAATGTACTAGAAGTTTCAGGGAAAGGGACGAGGGATGGAGGAGTTTGAAGTCACATTTTCTAGGTAAGAAGGGCTACCTGATAGTCTCACTAATGCCCCAGAAAATGATTCAAAGTGATGTTAGATTTTGTGGAAAACACATATTTAATCACTCTTCTGAAAAACTACAGAAATTGATGGTAGCATCCCTTCAGAGAATATATATACTAGCTATTCCTAAATACAGAACTTAACTTGCTAAAACCTATTTTATTTTGCATTAATGCTTTGAAATCTAAATATATTACTATGTGCTAGTCATTAATGATATTGGTTTACTAAGACTTGAGCATTGAACTGCTTCTGGCTCTAAGAGACAACTACATAAGCATTTTCTTCCCAGTGACTTCATTTGGTAATAGCGACTGCTACTGTTAGAACTTTCATAAAATGTGGTAAATTTTATGAAACACGAGACAAAGATTCTATACATGCTAAACGAGAATATTATATCATGCAATATTGACAATAAAGGTTGTTTTCATCATGCTCTCCTCCGTCCCACAACACCCGACTCCCACCCCACAAAACCTCATAGGAAGGAAACAAGCAAGAGGAAGAAAGATGCCACACTGTGAACAATAAACAGAAATAAACATACAGCCTGGGTTTCTGAGCAGACAGACCCACATCTATCTCTGATATTGCTATTTGAGAAAAAATACCTCCCCCCACTTGTTTAAGAAACTATAGTCGAGTTTTTATTTCCAGCTACACATATCTTTAACTGTTATATTAGTCATACCATAAACCAAAAAAAAGAAAAAAAGGGTAAAGATCTATTACTATAAGAAAAAAATACTTTAAGGCAAAAAGTTATTTCAACAGACATCAGAAATCTGTTTCATACAACATCAAAATAACAACTAAACTACAGAAGAGAGAATCATAGAGAATCGCCTGAAGACTAGCTGAATGGAAGTTCTATAATTAAGAACATACAGAAACAGCCATGAGACTGGTAGAAGAGGCAGAGACACAGAATGGGCTTGTCCCATACCCACACATGACAGTTAAAAATTGGGAGAGAGATCTCAGTTGAAGTGCCTGCCCTCTTGGGAGCAAGGGGTCCCAGCTCCACATCAGGCTTCCTGTCTTAGGGTTTCAGTGCCAGAGAGAGACGTCCCCACAACTTATGGCTGTGAAAACCAGCAGAGATTGTGGCTGAGCCAGATGAAGGGCTGCTGGAGTTTCAGGCATTTCTCTTAAAGGGCTCACACATGGACTTACTCGCTCATGGACTCGTTCACTGAGGCAGCAGCATGAAAGGTACTGGGGAAAAACAGGGAGGAAATAAATTGTCTGACTTCAAGACAAGGGCCAGAGAGTCAACTTTCTCCCAGACAGAAATAGTGGCAGTATCCATTGTTCCTTTGTTGAGCCCTCCCTCTACCAGCCTGGACACACAGGCCGGCACCACATCTGAGTCTCCATCAACCTAACACCATTTTCCCTGCCCTGGTGATTCCCTGAGATCCCACCCCCGCTAATTTCTGGGCCCACCCAAGCCGCTTCCAGAGGCTTTTTCATACAAATAGCCTGTCTTAGCTCATGCTGTGGACTTTTCTAAAATCTCTCAAACAAGCAGCATCTGGCCTCAGTGTGCCCTGTACTTCTTGCTAAGCGGCCCCAAGCCCAGCACTAGCAGCAGCCAGCCTCAGTTCACAGCTTAACCTCTCCCAGGGACCTCCAAGCACAAGAGGCAACCATCTGCAGATCACTCTGTAGCTTATACCAAGTGGCCCTGGGAAGAGCATTGGCAGCGGGCGGCCTTGGCCTGTACCAGAGCCCCTTCCAAGAGGCCCCAGAACCAACATACCTGGTGGCCAGCTTCAGACCACTCCCAAGCACCACCCAATCACCTCCACAAATGATGCACCCAAAGGGCAGTCTTGGCAGGTGCCAGAGGTCTGCTAAAGCGAATCCTGCTCTGTAGGGTGAGGCACTGCACAACAGCTCCTCCACTGTAGTCATGGCCAGTCCGCACAATGAATCAACTTGAGGGTCAACCCCTACCACTGATGTGCCAATAGCAATCAAGGCTCAACTACAACAGGATGGCACATACGACCCACACAAGAGACATACCTGGAGCACCTAGCTCAGCTGACAAGGGAGACTGTGCCACTGGAACCCACAGGGCATCTACTGCATAAAGTCATCATCAAGACTGGGAAACACAGCAGTTCTACCTATTACACAGCAATAAACACAGGGAGGTAGCCAAAACTGAAAGGCAAAGAAGCAAAAGACCAGAGCAAAACTCCAGTAAAAGAACTAAACAAAATGGAGACAAGCAATTTACTAAATACAGAGTTCAAAACACTGATTATAAGGATGCTCAATGATCTCAGTGAGAACGTCAACAAAGAGATAGGAAACATAACAATGGAGATAGAAAACAAAACAAAAGTCAGAAATGGAGAATACAATAACTGAAATAAAGAATACATTAGAGGGAATCAACAGTAGATTAGATGAAGCAGAGGACTGAATCAGCAATTTGTTAATACATTAAAGATATAAGGTTCTAGTTCAAAAATTAGTGTTGCTATATACACCAGCAAACCAATTAAAATTTTAATTTAGAAAAGAATCCCATTTGTAACAGTAACAAAAACTAAACAAATCTAAAGATAAACAATATGCAAGAGATTTATAGAGAAAATATAAATAAATAAAAAAGCTTTATTAAAGGGCATAAGAGAAGACCTAAGGAAAAGGAACAATATACCATTTTCATGGATGGTAAGATTTAATTGATGAAGACAGCAATTCTCAAATTAATCTATAGTACACTAAAATTCCAATAAAGATCCTCAAAGGGTTTTTATGGAACTTGAGAAACTGATTCTAAAATTAATATGGAAAAAAAAAAAAGGCCAAGAATAGTTGAGCAAGTTTGAAGAACAAAAAAAGTAAGAACTTCCCCATCAGGTAGCAACACAGTATAAAACTACAGAAATCCAATCAGTGTGGTACAGGTACAGGTAAATACAAAAAAAAAAAAAAAAGGAAACATGTAACAGAAAAGTGAGCCTAAAGCAATATACACATGTGTATATAAATGATAAAAGTGACATTACAAATGAATGAAGAAAAGAGACTATTCAACAATAGTACTAGGACAATTGGTTATTAAATAAAAAAATAAAATTATATTTTTACCTCATCCCATAAAAATAAATTGTTTATACTTCAAAGATTTAAATATGAAAAGAAATCCTGTAAAACTTGGAAGAAC